GTTTAGAAGAATGTATTTCAGATTCTTGTTCTTGAGCTTCAGAGTCCAGCCTGAGACCCATGGCAATCATCAAAGAGGCACAGACACAGAGAACTTGCTCTGAGAAATTTATTTGAGATGGAGAAAATTGAGGACAGTAGAAGAGTGTACACAGTTGTCTTGTAGGTCCCAAAGGAAATGGTGACCAAGTTTTTCTCTGCTCATTATTATGGGCAGCAGCACAGCGGGTAAATTCTAGAACCCTGGGTGCAGGACCCAGATCTGCGTTCTGTAAAATTACAGCCTGACGTTGAACAGCGACATTTCACAACGCTTCTTGCACCTGGGAACACAGAGAGAACACCATGATTTGAGTGCTGGGATCAGACACCAGGGTGAAGAATCCTGGAGAAGGCTGGGGTGAGGGTCAGCCCTGTTGGGGAACACTGCACCAGCATTGGTACCAGCCCTGTGAATGGGATCAGGATTGCACAGCAGTGTCAGCCACTGATGGGCAGGAGACTTATTCTCACCTGTCTTGGCTTCTGTGAGCCCCTGACCCACCACATATATAATTGAACATATTCTTAGACCTGTGTGCTGTTATTAAATCTCCTCTGATAGAGCTGAATGTCTTCTCTCTAATCAAGTCTACATGTTAATCCAGAATGAAACAGTCTGCATGTTTGTCCATAGTTGAAGTCTAGTCAATTTGAGACATTCTGGTGGAATCCAAAGTCTTTGGAGGAAGAAATTCTCTTGCATTCATTCTACCTTATGTTAATCTAGCTGAGGGAGATAAGCTCAGGAGAGTTGGCTGCAGTCCTGTAAGTGGTGCAGAACCCTGGGGACCCGTTCTCCAGCCCACCTGCAGGCCTTTCTCTGCCCTCCATACTGCACCATGGTGGGGACACTCACCTGATCTCTGAACACCAGGGGCCTCAGCTTCAGAAAAGGAGATGGCCATGTCCTGGTCCTCTTCCCCTGGCTGCTCCTGGTCTGGGGCCTCCTCATTGTTTTCTGGGAGAGGCTCAGCCTGGGCCTGGAGGGTCAGCAGGAGAAGGGCAGCGAGGAGGGCGAGGGTCCTCATGGCTGGAGTCACTGGAGGAGAGGAGGCAGGGGCCTGAGTGTGAGTGGAGCGAGGAGCCGGCTGCATTTATAGGTGTGCGAGGAGCAGGCTCAGAGCCCAGGCTGCAGGTGACTTTGGAGGGGGTGGCAGGCATGCCCTAGAGTCCCTTTGAAGGTCTCTGTTCTCATAGCTTCCTGCCTCATGTTGTGAGCTCCCTGTGTTGTCTGAGCCTGGTAGAAGCTGGCGGTGCTGATGGGGATGACATGTTTCCTGCTGAACATCTGCCGTGGGGTTTACCTTCTAGGATTGAGAAGAGAGCCGCCTGGGCAATCCCTTGCTCTTCAATAGTGTGAAATAGTTTGGACAGAGTTGTTATCAGTGTGTAAATATTTGGGAGCATCAACAGGAGTGGGTCCAGGAGGGGCTGGGCTCTCCTTTGATGGTGGAGTTCTCATTAGGGGTTCAATCTCCTCTCTCCTGGTCTCCTCTGAGTTTCTGTTTCTTCATGATTCAGTCTTGACAGGCTCTTTCTACCTTGGAATGTATCCATTTCTTGTACTATTCCAAAACTTTTGGCATAGGCTTTAATAGAGCAATTTGTTATGATCCTTTGCATTTCTGAAATATCTGATGTTGTATCTTCTTCTTTGTCTCTGGTTTGATGTTTGAACATTTTCTCTTTTCTTTTTAGTTTTCCTGGATAGAAGTGTGTGAATTTCCTTTCTGCTTTATACCCTCCAGCTCTGTTTTTCTGACTGTATATACATCAAGGCAGAATCTCACTGATTCCTGGTCTGGCCCTTATTGTGCCCTCCTTCCCCAGCCGTGGTTTTCCTTAGAGTCTGGGTGAGATGAGGAGGTGCACTTCCAAGGCCTGCCTGATGCTCCCCCTTGGCTGAAGCAGGCTTCCGGCTGTCTGTGTCCCTTGTGGATCCAGTGCTGTGGCCTCTGAGTTTTGTGGTTTTCCTTTCTACATTCCTTCCTTTCCGGAAGTTTTTCTATTCCTTTGTGATCTTTGTGACTTCACAGTTCCTTCAAGGGCATGTTGTTTAATTTCCATGTACATGAGTAGTTCATGTTACTTTAATTTTCTGTTAAAATGTAGTCTTATTTCTTTGTTTGCAGATCAGATACTTCACCTGGTTTCAAACTTGTTGAGCTTTGTCTTGTGTCCTGACATAAGACGAAACGAGCAGTTTCCATGTGCTGTTCGGGAGAACATCCTCTGCACCATTGGCTGCAAGTTTCTCTACAAGTCAGTAAGACCCTTTAGTCTACAGATCAGTTTAAATGGGATGTTTCTTTGTGGATATTCTACCTGGGCGTTTTTTCCTTTTCTGATAGTGGAGTTTTTTTAAACACCTTTTTTTTTAGACGTTTATTTTATTTATATGTGGTGCTGAGAATTGAACTCAGGGCCTCACAAGGGCTATGCAGGAGCTCTACCTCTGAGCCTCTACCTTAGCCCATCTTTAAATACTTTCAAAGCATTTTTTTAGCATCACTGATTCAAACAGCCACTGAAAAAGCTAAAATTTTAAACATATGTGCCACATTATGATCTTAAATTTCTGTGGATATTGTTACAGTTGAATGGGATCATTAATTTTAAAATGCCTTTCTCATTTCTCATTTCAATAAGCGAGCCCCATAATTTCTAGATTTTGTCTAGACTTGAGAATATATAATGCCATTTTGTTTTCTTCTAGTGACAGGAAATACGATTACAGGTTTTGGAGATTTCTAGGCAAGGAAGAATACTCAGCTGTGTCTCTATGGGATTTACCTGTTTGGGGGACTTTCCTCAGTGTGAAGTCACTGTGAGAACAGCAGGGGTTGGGGGACAGCCACCAGCAATGTCTCAGCACTCCCTGGTTAAACATTAGCACCATCACAGAGAATAAGGGCACAGGTGGCCTCCAGGACCTGGGCAGAGGACAGTGTCTCTTAAGACACTCTACAGGTGTGAGAAGCAGCAGAGGACATTTGTCCACATTACATGTTAGTTTTGTTTCTTTGGTCTTTATTCTACTGGGTGAAAGATGGGCATGATGTTGGGAAGGGCGGCTGTGTACTTACAACTGTCAGCAGTGGAGTAGAATTAGCCGTCCTGAATTCCTCACTGGTGGAAACACAGTGATGGAAAATCCATTGGGAAGGCCCATATTTGATTCTCTGGGAACCTGGAGCTCTGGGTGCTGGCCTGACTGTCTGACTCAGGCGACCAGCTTGAGAGAGTCACTGCAGGGCAGGGCACTTACAGGATCCAGAGAAGCCTGCCCAACCTCCACAGCCTGAGCCCAGCTCAGGCCCTCCCCCAGCTCAGGCCCTCCCCCTGTGCCCAGGGCTGAGAGCTGGTCCCTGTGTTTCAGGACTGAAGACTTTCTCTGTCCACAATGTGATCACTGCAGAGGTGCCAGATGTGAAGGGTGGCATTAGGGGCCAGGACACTGTGCTGGCCTCCTCAGAAGAGCAGACCCTGGCCCTAAGGTCATCTCCTCTTCAGAGTCAGATGCAATGGATATTGGAAAAGCCCCTCTGTGCCCTCTATGGGTCTGGGCATTGCTGTGAGTTACTAATCACATTGATGTCTGGGCTCAGCTCACTGTTTTAGTGAAGATCAGCCCTGAGTGGACTGGAAATGCTGTCCTTCTCTCTACCATCTGTTATCTCTCTGATTCTCTAGATGTTCCTGGTAAATTCTGCCAGTGACCAGACCAGTGAGCATAACCGTGGCTTGACCTGCCCAATTCTCTTTCCAAACACGTGGTATGGATCCTGAGGGGGCAGTGCAGACCCCAGAGTGGACACGAGGCATCGGAGTGAGACTGTGGAGGCCTCACAAAGTGTTTGTGGTCACATCCTGATGGACATTTGAGACACATGGTGGAAGGTGTCCAGGATGCCTGGGTGACTGTGGAGGGACAGAGGTTAGAGACATGGAAGAGTCAATCCTGCCTCCTCAACATGACTGACTGGCCCTTCAGAGACGGGAATTTGGTATGAGCCTGCATGACCTCTTGGAAGGCAGTCCTGCTCAGGACAGGGCAAAGCCAGCAGGGTGTGACGTGGGGTGGACAGAGTATACAGACAGCAGCAGGGGAGCGGTGGCCCCTGGTCCAGACTCTGCTGCTCTGACAGGGCACTGTTGCTGTCTTGCTTTCCTCACACCCTTTTCCTGCCTGACTCCAATGTGTAAGATGTTTGGGCCTCAGAGCCCTGATGCCTGCAGCCTCCATGGGGACTCCTAGTGGCTTGGAGAATGGCTTTGTGTCTGCACTTTTGCTTTCACATGCCCTGAGCTGTGAGTTACAGGCAGAGTCTGGATCTCAGCAGATTTGATGTGACTAAGAGAGTGTGAGCTGCAGGGTGCAGCTAGGAGCTGTCCCTGGTGTGCTGGTTTGTGAAGACCCACCGAGTACAGCTAGAACCCAGGACTTTCTAGAGAAGAGAAATCTACTTAAAAGTGGTGACATGCATGGGATATTTGGGCTTCCTCTGCTTTCTGTTGTGCCATTGGCATCTTTGGTAGTGACCCATCCCACTCTCATGAGGTTCTGATGGAGCTGATGCAACCCACTGGCCTCAGAAACCACTGTTTCACCTGGACCCATGCAATCCTCTCTGGGACTTTGGCAAGGAGGATGGTGGCCTTCCTGACAGGAACTCTGGCTCTGACTGTGTAGCACACGGGATGTGGGCAAGGTGGTCGCAGTGCCCCCAGTCTGAGTGGAGGCAGAGCTGAGGGGCAGGGAGGAGGTAGAGGGGTGAGCACCAGCTGAGACTTCTCATTGCTCTGTGATCCTGTGTTCCTCCCTGACCTCCTAGTGCTGGGAGCCAGGCTTTTGTTTAGAAGAATATATTTCAGATTCTTGTTCCTGAGCTACAGAGTCCAGCCTGAGACACGTGGCAATCATCATAGAGGCACAGACACAGAGAACTTGCTCTGAGGAATTTATTTGAGATGGAGAAAATTGAGGACAATTAGATTGGGGTAAGGGGTGCTGACAGTTCCGTTGTATGTCTCAAAGGAAGGGGTGACCAAGTGTTTCTCTGGGCATTATATTCGGCGGCAACAGAACTTGTAGACTTTACGACCCTGAAAGCAGGACCCACGGTTGTGTTCTCCTAGACGTTGATTACAGCCACGTGATGAACAGTGGCATTTCAGGATCCCTCGTGCACCTGGGGACACAGAGAGAGCAAGTTGAATTGAGTGGTGAGTCAGACTCCTGGTGAAGAGTCCTGGAGAGGCCCCTGCTGGGGTGAGGGTCAGCCCTGTTGGGGACCCTGCACCAGCATTGCTACCAGCCCTGTGAATAGGATCAGGAACACACAGCAGTGTCAGCCACTCATGGCTGGAGACCCATTTTCACCTGCCTTGGCCTCGGTGAGCCCCTGACCCACCACAGAGTCTCTGATCACACTCAGAGCAGAAGTCTGTTTCTAACTCTCCTCTGATAGAGCAAAACATTTTCTCTAAAACAACGCTTTCCCATGTTTATCAAATATAATCTAATTCACATGTTTCTCTATATTTTAAGGCTACTTAATATGAGGTATCATTTTGGAATGTAATCTCTTTGGGGTAGGAAGCTCTTACACTTGTTTTTCCTCTTTCTTTAATTCTGAGTAGGGAGTCAATCTAAGAGAGGTTCGGTTGGTCCTGAAAGTGAGAGAGACCTCTGGGGACCCATTTCCCAGCCTGCCTGCAGCCTTCCTGATCCTCCATTCCTGTGCCCTGGTGGGGATACTCACCTGATCTCTGAACACCAGGGGCCTCAGTCTCGGCAAAGGAGATGGCCATGTCCTGGTCCTCTTCCCCTGGCTGCTCCTGGTCTGGGGCCTCCTCATTGTTTTCTGGGAGAGGCTCAGCCTGGGCCTGGAGGGCCAGCAGGAGAAGGGCAGCGAGGAGGGCGAGGGTCCTCATGGCTGGAGTCACTGGAGGAGAGGAGGCAGGGGCCTGAGTGTGAGTGGAGCGAGGAGCCGGCTGCATTTATAGGTGTGCGAGGAGCAGGCTCAGAGCCCAGGCTGCAGGTGACTTTGGTGGGGGTGGCAGGCCTGCCCTGGAGTCCCTTTGAAGTTCTCTGTTCTGGTAGCTTCCTGCCTCATGCTGTGAGCTCCCTGTGTTGTCTGAGCCTGGTAGAAGCTGGCGGTGCTGATGGGGATGACATGTTTCCTGCTGAACATCTGCCGTGGGGTTTACCTTCTAGGACTGAGAAGAGAGCCGCCTGGGCAATCCCTTGCTCTTCAATAGTGTGAAATAGTTTGGACAGAGTTGTTATCAGTGTGTAAATATTTGGTAGCATCAACAGGAGTGGGTCCAGGAGGGGCTGGGCTCTCCTTTGATGGTGGAGTTCTCATTAGGGGTTCAATCTCCTCTCTCCTGGTCTCCTCTGAGTTTCTGTTTCTTCATGATTCAGTCTTGACAGGCTCTTTCTACCTTGGAATGTATCCATTTCTTGTAATATTCCAAAACTTTTGGCATATGGGATCATGGAGCAATTTGCTATGGATCTTGCATTTCTAATATATCTGATGATGTATCTTCTTCTTTGTCTTTGATTTATTTATCTGAATAATTTTTTTTTTAGTTATCCTGGCTAAAAGTATGTGAATTTCCTTTATACTTTATACCCTCCAGCTCTGTTTTTCTGACTGTATATATATCAAGGCAGAACCTCATTGATTCCTGGTCTGGGCCTTATTGTGCCCTCCTTCCCCAGCCATGGTTTTCCTTGGTGTCTGGGTGAGATGAGGAGGTGCACTTCCAAGGCCTGCGTGAGGCTCCCCCTTGGCTGAAGGAGGCTTCAGGCAGTCTGTGTCTTTGTGGATCCAAGGCTGTGGCCCCTGAGTTTCGTGGTTTACTTTCTGCTTCCCTTCCTCTCAGGAAGTTTTCTAGTTACTCTAGATCTTTCCATGACCCACAGGCTCTTCAAGGTCATGTTGACTCATTCCCATGTGGGTGCCTGGTTCATGTTCCTGAAGTTTCCAGTTTTCTGTTGGGATGTGGATTTGTTTCATTGTGCTCTGAAGAGACGCTTCATCTGCTTTCGGGTCTTCCCCCTGGCCTTGTGGACTGATGGAAGACGTAGTGGGCACTTTCCTTGTGCTACGCAGGAGAAAGTGCTCTGGACCATGGACTGCAATATCCTCTCCATGTCACTTAAGGCTCTTTGGTCTACAGAGTGGTTTAAAGGGGATGTTTCCTTGTTCCTCTTCCACCCTGGTGTTTTGTGCATTTCTGAAAGTGGGGTTTTGGAGCCTCTGCTGTGTTCCCTGGGAATCCCTCTGTCTTTGGCCACTGAGGTCTTATTCATGTTCCTGGATTCTCTGGTGCAGGGGGCCCATGTGCAGTTGTTGCTCCTTGCTGTAGGTCACTTCTCAAGGTCAGTCCTTCCTCCTCTCTGGGTTTTACTTTAGAGAGGCTTTTCTCTGGCAGAAGGCAGTTGCTTCTTGTCTGTCTTGGTTTCCATTCACCTGGATCCTCCTCCCCAGCAGTACCTGTCACCCTGGGTGTGTCTTTGCGTGTGAGGTGAAACTCTCCTTGGTGGCCCACAGTCACATCCTAAAGGAAACAGAATGTATTCATCTCCTCTGGGTCTTTCATTGATGGATTTGATCCATTTGCATTTGTGGTTTTTATTAATTTTTATCAGGTGAAGAACCTAATTCTGACAGTTGGTAAGAGCTTTCTGAGGGTGTTTCAGACTCTTTCTGTATTTTCTTTTCTTTTTCCCTTTATGGTCTTGTAGTTTTCATTAGTGACAGGTGTTCATTTTTTTTTTAAATCTGTGTGTTTTTCTTTTTCCTTATGTCTACAAGTTTGCTTATGTAGCACCTTTTCATGACACCATGAGACTGGACACTGAGAACCAGTTCACTGTGGTTGTGTATAAACACTCTGAATTTTGAAACACTCTGAATTATCCTATTCCTATGGAGTATTCAGAACAGAAAGGTCTCTAAGGACAGAAAGTAGCTCAGCATGTGCTTGAGTATGGAGATGGGGTCAGAGGGTGGGAGGTGAGAGGTCCTGTCCTGTTTGTGAGTGATGAATGTTCTGATGTTGGCCGTGGCTGCTGCTGCATGTGTCTGTGAACACAATCAGACCTGTACATTCAGCATTTGAGTGTGCGAATGGGATGATGTGGGATTATGTCAACAAAAGAACTTAAAAGTCAAGAAAACAAAAGGAAATATTTGGATTTTTTCTTATCATCTTTCATTAGTTTCAAAGCATTTGTAAAATCTGTTATTCAAACAGCTAATGACAAAGCCAAAATTTTATGTATTTCTTTCACAAGAGAGTCTTAATTGCTTTGGATATTGTTACAGTTAATTGTAATCATTGGTTTTTCAATGTCTTTCCCATTACTTATTTCAAAAAATGGGGCCCGTATTTGTTGGAATAACTTTCGGTTCACAGCTAGTAGCTTCAAGTAGCTCCGAGTGCTCTGAAAACCCACGCTTGTACAGGCCTGGCAGGAACACCTGCAGGATGGAGTGCTCTGCTCTAGGGAGCTGTCTGTGAAACCACATCCTCAGTACTTGTGGTCAGTATGCCAAGCTACCAGACTACCAGGTCAGGAAACTGAGTCAAGTGCTTCAGGGCATGTAATCTCCAACTCATAAAGCCCCCTCCCTTAGGCACAGAGACCCTTCCAGACTGCCTTCCATCCCAACAGCAATATTTAGTGCTTCCTCATAGTGTGGTTACATTAGGCATAAGACGATTGGCTTATAGATGTTAAAGTGCTTATGTGTGATTGGCGGGCACGCTCTACCTGAACCCTCTAACAGCTGTATGCATTTCAAAAATAAATGAGCTTGAGCTTGCTGAACATCGACTGAGCTTGTTGAAAGTTGACTCCGTGTTGATGTGATATCGCGTCCCTCCCCCCTCCCCCCAGACTGACGTAGCTGAGTGACCATTGAGCAGAACAAGTGAAAGGAACACATACACATATTTTTAGACTTTTTCTAGATTTACGAATATATAGTGTCATAACGTTATTCTCAGCATTAAAAGACAAAATTATGGCATTTTCAGGTAAATGGATGGAGTTGGAGAATATCATGATAATCTAAGGAAGCCAATCCCAAGATCAAAGGCCAAATGTAGTCTCTGATAAGTGGATGATGATCCATAATGGGGGACAGTGGATAATGGAGGTCCTTAGATTGGGCAAATGGGAGGTCGAGGAGGGTTTTAGTATGGGGGCAGGGAAAATAGTGGAAAGAGATGGATATGATTCCCTAGGAACATGTATGAATGCATATATGGTGCGCCTCTGCATCGTGTAAAAGAAGAGATATGAACTGTGTAGAATGGAACAAAATGCATTCGGCTGTCAGGTGTAACTAATTAAAACTATATATATATATATATTTCTAATTATTTTTCTTTTGTTCTCCTCTGGAGCCAGGAAAGAAAAGCGAAGGTTTTGGAGATTTCTATAAAAGTCTGAGAACTTTAGGCATAGATGAAATTTACCTGTTTGGGGGATTTTCCTGTGAAGTCACTGCGGGAACAGTGTAAGGTACCTGTGGGCGTGGCATTTGCCTTGACCCTGGGACAGGAGAGAGAATGCATAAGGAATCCTGCTCACCTGGTGATGGGACAAGCGAAGGAGCCTGGAGCAGGTTCAGGGTGGGGAGAAGCAAAGCACAGACTTGGACACTTACATGGGCACAGGGAGAGCACAGGGAGCAGAGGCCAGTGCTGGCCCTGACAGGGTGCCTGGGAGCAGCTCCTGAGAGCGAGATGGGTGGGGCAGAGGAGTGTGCTGGGGTCTAGGTCTGAGTTACCCCAGAGAGGAGAAGATGAGGTGTGACCATGGGGAGCCTGAGCACAGGACAGAGAGGGAGGGAGGGTCCTGGAATTGAGGGGACGAGGACAAGTGGTGTCCTTGCTGTCTCCAGGTGGGCGTGTGAGGGCAGTGTCCTTCCCCAGGATGCAGAGCAGGGGCGCCCAGGCTGGTCCTGGTGTCAGAGGCATTTGCAGCGCAGGGAACACAGCAGAAGTACCAAGTGCTGGTCCTTTCCCAGGCAGTGAAGCAGAGCTTCTGTGGAGGGTCAGCAAGTGTGTCTTAATGGCACTGCTCTGAGCTGGAGGACACTTGATGTTTGGCCAAAATGACGGAGGACAGGGGTTGTTTTTCCAAAGTCTTCAAAAGGAATGGACTCAAAAGCTTTCTCTCAAACTCCAGTGCCTGGATCCATGCAGAGGCAAGGAATTTTGGACATCCTTGGCCATTTTCCAAAGAAATGCCTTAATACTCCAGGATGTGCCTTAATTTACAAAGGCTCTTGTTTCACTTGTATTTGAATTTGGAGTATGAAGGGGTGTTAACTTCACTCTGGTTTTCTAATTAAACTTTCTACTTGTACCTCAAATTTGAGTTTTCCTTTTAGAATTTATCTGTCCATGCTTTATCACCCTTCAAAATGGAAAATGTGGAATTACGTGGTCAACCATGGACACTCCATGGCCCCCAGTCTCTTCCATGTGGAGTAGGTTATACCACAGAGCCGTCCCCAGGACTACTGGTAAATGTTCACACAGAAGGGAACAGGGAGCTGTCAGGGCCCCCTGCACAGGAGCTAGGCTCACCCCCTCAGCCTTGAGTCAGGGGGTATTGAATTGGACTTGCACGCTGAGCCAAGCCAGTGGGCCTTAAGTTTGCTCAGCAAGGAAGTGCCTCGCTCTGGGCTTGGTGTTACCCAATAGAATTGGGCTGCTTCCCTGTTCCTTGAAACACAGTCCCTTGCCTAATTTGGGTGGAATATTCTTCTATTGAAGGTCTTTTTCCCTAATAAATACAGGGGTTTGGAATGTGCTCTCTCTCTTGTTCTTCTTGCCCTTTTTTCAGTGCTATCCAGGGTGGGTGCTGACCCTTGATGTCACAGAGCAGTCCCCAAACTCCACAATTGAGAAATAGGTACTTTGGTATTTGTGTGGTCTTTTATCACCAGCC